GTAGTAATGATGTCTATTGTTTTGTTTTGTTTTGTTTTCACCATTTTATCTTCGGTGCCAAACATATTGCCTGACCCATTATGGGCACTCATTAAATATTTGTTGAATAAATGTAGTCATTGGTAAATGAATGAATAAATGTTAAATGATACATGAGGAATTGCCAGAGTTGACCTTGCATGTCAGATGAGAAAATATAGACTTAATACAGTTGACAAAAGGGTCCATGGAGGCTGTTCGAGCAGGTTGGGGTGGTGAGAGTGGAACTGGAGAGGCAAACATCATAGCCATTTCAACATGGAGATCAATAACACATGCACTTTTTGTAGTACACGCTCTATCCCAGCTGTCCCCTGATAAACATTCATCTACCAGCTGCAGGCTCTGCCATGACACCAACTTCATATAGAAAGAATGTGAAGAAACTATGAACCGAAATAAAAAAGAATTATTTCTTAGTTCTCTGGAAAGCCCAGCAGTGGTCTATGCAAGTCTCATGGTCTCAAAGGTCTCCTTTCTCTTTTCTGTATTTGTTTCCCAAAAAATACTTTTTTTTTTCCAAATAACTCTGGTTTGGCAAATTTTAATTGCCTGTTTGGGACGAGGTCCCTGAAGCTCACAGAAGTTAATTATTTCTTTCTAGCAAAGATCAGAAACTTTGAACTCTACTTGTTAGGTAAATGGTCTGGTAGCACTTTGGAACTTGAGCGCATTTAAGTTACTGAGCAGATCACCAACTTACTTCCTGCATTTGGAATTGAATCTGGAAGAGAATTGGACCCCAGACATCATGAGTAGGCCAAGGATGTAGGATTTATAGATTTGGTTTGAGCAAAATAAGTTCCAATAGATAAAGGTAAGGTGACAACTTCAAGATATAGATCAATGGATCTGAGCCTAGATGGAAAGAAGAGGAGATACAGCACAGTTTCTATAAACAAAAGTGCTCAACCCAAGGCAGGTTCTGGTCAGTTATATTTTGGGGATAAGAGAGGGGTAAACAAAGGACTCTTTGTTGTTGTTTCAACTGCAATATAAAGTTTTTTAAATCCTTGAGTTTATTTTTCAACCACAATGGTTAACATGACTGCCATTAGATCTTTTTGATAACAAACAGATACACAGGACTTGGGGTATCAATCATGTTGTATATTTTCACTCTCCAGCAATGAAAATGGTGGTAGAGAAAGAAGAGAAAACTGGGTAGGGTAGGTACAGAGTCTGGGACCTCTCTTTGAGGTTATTCAATTTAGTTTAAGTTCCCATGCAGAATGTTTTGTTGTTTCCCTCTTTTTAAAGAAAGTGACATTTTGGTTTAGTTAGGGTCCAGTTCACTAAAATAGATAATAGATAGATAAATAGTGCCAAGAGTCAAAAGATATCTAAACTAGTAGGTTGCAAATTGAGATAGCCTAAAGGTCTTGATGCAGAGTGTTCAAATGACCTCAATCCCCCTTATGTTGTAACTTTCCTAGGGGAGGTTGAATAAGGATGTGTGTGGGTCAAATGTCAGTGAAATAAATGCTATGTAAGAAATTAAATAATTTAATTATATGCTATTACCAAGGGTTGCAGATCAAAAGGTTTGTCAATTGATATTCCACCTAATCTAAAAGAATTCTCTTTCTTCAGAATTTCCAGGCATTCAGGAGGTTGAGAAGCTGGGAAAGCTTTTGAAATCTTGCCAGGAGAATTTGCAGGGAGATCATTACAGTTCCAAACCTGATAACTCTTGGAGAATTGTTTTGTTGGCAGTCCCATTCCACTATATCTTCATACTTCAAAGGGACCTTCAATGCTGAGTAGGTAACAGGACAGGGTCTAATTATTTTCTTCTCTCCTTGTTTTGGGTCTCTAACCATCCATCTAGCATGGGCAATCTCTAAGCAATGTGCCGCTATCAATTAAAAGGAAAGCTAGGCTGTGTAAATAATTGCAGGTAATAAGACTAAGATAGGAAACATGCTGGGCCCCAGTTTACCAGGAATCTCCTAATGGTTACCTTAGAATGAGACAATCACAACTGCCTTCAGAGGGCAGTGCCCAGATTAAATGAAAAACAGTCCTCTCAGTTTAGATGCTTGGCAGTTTTTAAATGGAAGATAAAAATTGACATCAATTGTAGTTCCAAGGGTCCAAACATAGTACTGATGGAGGCAAGGTCATGGGTTCAATCCCAATCTTTATCATTAATCTAAACAATATTTAAAAAACAATTCTGTCCGATAGCCATAGACTGATCACCAAATTTTAGTCAACGGGCTCATCAATTTGTTCAACTGGGCTCATGAGGGACTGAGAGACAGACTTGTTATAAATTCTCCTTCAATTTTGGAAGAACAAAATATACCCTGTGGCTCATTAGGAATGACAGATTCACAACAGGAGGGAAAACATCTATTTGTCTATATTTAATAGGAAAAGTACTATCTCATAGAGTTCTAAGAGCAATATAGACCTTTAAATGGCATAATAATGAGCTGTCCACATCTTTGCAAAACCAGTTCACCCTCCCTTCTGCAGCATGCCCACCATCTTTTTAAGATGTTTCACTGTGGGGACCAGCAGTTAGTGTAACGGCCATGTCGCTGGACTCCCAAGTAGTTGACTGTGGTTCAAGTCCTGGACCCGGTGGCTTAAACTCATGCCGGGCATGTGCGTGCATGCCCAAGATACCGAGAGGAGTTTAGAGAAGGGATTGCAGCGTGGCCATTCCCCCTGGGAGGTGATTTCTCATTTTCTGTCTCTCTGTCTCTGTCTGTCTGGCGAGCGCACACGCTCTATGGCAAAAACCTCTCCAAAAAAAGAAAAAAAAAGATATTTCACTGTGAATTTCCCATGTATACATAATTGGAAGTTAAGTATACTACTAATTATTCCCTCTATTTTAAGATATGGCTATACTAACTTAAAATAAAATGGGCTTTGGGGCATTGTTTTTGCAATTTGACTCTTCTTTTTCTTCACTCATTATACAGTACATGTGCACACATGTGAGAGTGAGAGAAAGTGGGGAAAGAGATGAACATCCTCCATAGGGCCTGGTCATGCTGTGATCTCTTTCCTCCATCCCTCCAGCCAAATCCTGGACGTGCCACATGTGTACAGCATGTTTTAGACTGACCAGGCTAAGGATTCAAACCATGCTCACCACATAAGATCCAGCTTCTCTTTAACAGTGCATTACTACTATACCATGGAGCTGGTTCTGACTCTTCCTCACTCTGTAAAGATGGTTTTCTTAATTTTTATTTGGAAAGGTGGAGGAAGTCCAAGGCATATTTCCTTCTCAGGGCCTCATGATAAGTGAAGGCAAAAGCAGCATTAGGTGTCTAGAACTCTGAAGATATTCTTGTGAATACATTTTACCCTCCAACCCTTATACTTGTTTGCTCCTTCACAAGTGACAAACACTTTCATATATATGGATTTACCTTCCTTGTGTACTTAGCATGTCAGAGAAGCTGAGTAAGATAAAGAACAAGACACAGAAATAGGTTACTGGGAGGTCAGGACATGGGAGGAAGCAGTTATGAAATCTTTCCTAAAGACTTTTAATTACAAGTGAGTCTCCCATAACAGAAGTGATTAGAGAACCCCCATCCTTAACGAACCCCTCATCTAACCTACATGTCTCTCCAGTGAATGAGGAAAATGTAGTGGATTCCCCACAATCTGAAGAGTATTTTTCTTCATTTTATCTGAGGGAAATCAGAGAACCTTAATATGTTACAGCTAAAGGGGCTATTATAGATTATTTGCCTAAACACAATTGTAAATGAAAATTTAGATCAAGTAAGAGGACGGTATTTGCCTAGAAACGTAGACAACAAATAGCAGAATCTTTTGGGAGGGGATTAAAAAGAGAAGGGAGGGTCCAATAGGTGGTGTTGTCAAGGGACTGGACTCCCTTGTTCAAGTCCTGACCCATTGGCTTGAAAATCACACCAGACACATATGTGTGCTTGCCCAAAAATCCCCAGAGGAGAACGGAGGAAAAGGGATTGTGGTGTGACCATCATCTTTTGGAGTATGGTATGATTGTTCACTTTCCCCCTCTTTCTGTCTCTCTCTGATGAGCACACACATCTTATAGCAAAAACCTAAAAAGAGAGAGAGGAGGGAGAGTTAGTCTCATGAAAGAGCACATATAGGGGCCAGCAGATGGCATATTGTTTATGCTGCTGGACTCCCACATGGCTAACTGTGGTTCAAGTCCTGGACCCGATGGTTTGAAAATCATACCGGCCATGTGTGCATGTGTGCCCAGGATCCTTAGAGGAGAATGGAGAAGGAACTGCAGCATGGCCATTCTCCCAGGGGGTGATTTCTCACTTTCTTTCTTACTTTCTCTGTCTTTCTCTTTCTTTCCAGTGAGCACATACATCCAAGGCAAAAATCTCTTAAAAAAATAAAAGAAAGAAAGAAAGGAAAAGGAAAGAAAGAGAAAGAAAGAAAGAGCATACATATATAATGGGTGCTTGGCATATAAACATCAATCTCAAGGGAGCAATGGCAAATGGAAAAAGGGAGGCTGCCTTAAATACAAGACTGTAATGTTCAATGACATTCGTGATAATATCATTGACTTGATTGCTACTTACTGCATGCATACCTTGAAAACATACTGTGTGCTATAGAGGTGTACAATGATTGAATATAAATAAAATCATGAAATTAAAAATAATTTTAAAATATAAAACTGCCAAAGAGCACCATCCACACATTCATTCAACAAATACTTATTAAGCACCTATGCTGTGCCAGGTACTATTCCAGGTTTGGGACATATAGCAATAAACAAAATAGACAAAATTCCCCTGACCTCATTGAGCATACATTCTAGTTGAAAGACAATCAATAAACACAATAGATACAATATAGAGTATGCTAGAAGTAATCCTAATGGGGGAAATAATGCAGGAAAAGGGGCTATAAAATATCAAGGGATAGGGATGAATTTGTAGACAGGGTGACTCAGAAAGGACATACTTAAAAAGATGCTTCATGAAGAAAGTGCTGAGGAATATGAGAAGGTAAGCCATGCAGGGATCTGAGTTTCACAAGTTTGGAATAGAAAGTCTTTTATAAATATGAAGGGGCAAGATCAAAGGCATTGAGAAAGAGATGTGCTTTCAATGTTTGAAGAATGGTGAAGAACTCAGTGTGACCAGAGAAAAGTGAGCAAGAAATAGCAATAGGAAGTGGGGTCAGAGAGGTAAGGAGTTGGCAAACCATGTAGGACCTCGTAGGTAAGGAGACAACTGTTTAAAGGTTAAAATGAGAAACTATGGTAACAAAATGGTATTGCACACTTAACATTTTGTTAAGAGGGCAGAGCTTGCATTTAATGCTCTTATCACAAAAAATAGAAGATAGAGAGAGGAAACTTTTAGCAGTGATGGATATATTTAGGGCATTATGTATAGTGACCGTGTCATGGGAATATTCTTATCTTTGAACACATCAAGATGTGTACATTAAGTATGTATACCTTTTTAAATTTCAGTCATACCTCAATAAAAGTGAAAAAGACATTTTTTTAGTAGAAGAGTGACCTGATCTGACAATTGAGCACAATCATTTGAACCAAATAAGGACAAGGTCAAAAACGAAAACCAATAAGGAAGTTACTGACGAAAATCCATGTAAGTAACGATGATGCCTTAAAATAAAAGAGAGCAGGGCAGATGGCAAGATGAGTAGATTCTGGATAATAACCCTGAATGCCCACAGAATCACCACTTCGATCCAGCTACCTAACAATTTCATCATCTCCAAGAGTTTCCTTGTGCTCTTTTATAGTCGTCATTCCCTATGCCCCACTCCCTGGCAACCACTGATCTAATTTCTTTCACTACATTAGTTTTAATTTTTAAAAATTGCCTATAAATTCAATTGTAGTGTTTGTACTCCTTTCTCTCTGGCTTCTCATAGCCTGCTTTTGAGATTTATCTATGTTGCATGTATCACTAAACTGTTTTTAACTGCTAAATAATATTCAATTATACAGATTTACCACACCTTTAAAAATCCATTCCCTGTATATGGACATAATACAATGGGTTTTAGACTTTAGTTCACATAATCTGTACATTCACTTGTGGTGTCCGTGATGCTGATAGGGCAGTGGGGGTGGGAAAGAGGTGGTTCTAGGAACAATTTCACTTGAAAAAGGAGCTCTAAAACTAAAAGAAAAGAGTTATCCAGAACTTAACTATTGATGTACGGCTGAAATATAAAAAGGTACATATAATAAGACATTTATCTTGGTGGGTTTGAAAGTAAGTACACAGCTTGAAACAGTCACAATAAATAATGCACTGTTCTAAGTGCTAGGGATACACGAGTAAACAAGGCAGACAGAGTCCTTTGTCCTCAATCAATTTGCATTTGGGTGGAAGACAAATAAGAAAACAAGTAATCAGGTCATTATTATAATTAAATATTGAAATATTTTATTCAAAAAATAATACAGGGTAAGGGGAATGAGCGTAGTAATGGTTGAAAGAGTGATTCTTTTTAGATAGGCTGTTCACTCAAGTCCTCTTCTTACCACTCTCACTTTTAGAAATATCTCATTAGATTTTCATACTACTAACTGGGCTCAGCAACCACAGAACAAAGAAAAGAAAAAACATAAGGAAAGCTAGAAATGTAATCCAATTGAGGCTATTAGCAGACTGCTTTTACGGACTTCAGGGGTCCCATGAACTACTCCATTAATATAATAGGTGAGGTCAAAAAGATCCCTTGCACTCACTCTGTATCAGGCATCATGATAGATGCTAACAGCATGGGAAAATGGAGACATTTGCCATCTAGAAGTGAAAGGCAGTCACAAGAATAGACAACATTTCAGCTAAGACATCTCATCTGTCAGAAAGTACTCTCTTGGCAAAAAGTAGTCGCTCAAGCTAACTGTATCTATGCATCAGATTTGTCTTGGAAATGGAGAACAAATAAGAGAGCCAGGAGGATAGCCTGCTTATCCTCTCTTCTAAGTTGGAAAAAACAAACCCAAACCAAAACAAAACAAAATATCCAAGAAGGCTTCTGACAAGAACAAGAGATCTAGGGAATTTTCATATAACTATTTTCTTTTTCTTTTTTCTTTAGAGAGAGAAAAACTTTTGCCACAACGCACATGTGTTTGCTGGAGAGACAGAAAGTGAGAAATTACCGCCAGGGGGATGGCCATGCCACAACCCCTTCTCCTCCATTATCCTCTCATGATTTGTGGCATGCACGCACATGGTGTGAGTTTTAGGCTGTTGGGTCCTGGACTCGAACCATGGTGTTGACTACATGGGAGTCCAGCCCCTTAAACACTATGCTACCTGCTGATTCCTGTATAACTATTTTCAAAAGAATGAGGAACATCCCATTTTCCTGGGGCTGAGAAGGGGATTTTTAGCTCTGCCTCTGTTCCCATTATAGATATGCTATCCCATTTGTGTTCTGTGTCTTCTGAAAAGGAAATGATAATGATCCTGCACACTTTCCTCATGGTCTCCATATTTTTTCTCATTCTTTCAGGTGTGGTCAGGCAGCTGCATTTGTACTCATTCAATGAACAGTAGCAAGAGGGAAGGCTAGCTATGGACAACGTCACAGCAGTGTTTGAGTTTTTCCTCATTGGCATCTCTAATTATCCTGAGTGGAGAGGCACATTTTTCACATTTATACTAATAGTTTACCTCAGCACGATGTTGGGGAATGGATTTATCATCTTTCTTATCCACTTTGATCCTCACCTCCATACTCCAATGTACTTCTTCCTTAGTAACCTGTCTTTCTTAGACCTTTGTTATGGAACAGCCTCCATGCCTCAGGCCTTAGTGCATTGTTTCTCTACTCATCCCTACCTCTCTTATTCCCGATGTTTGACCCAAATGAGTGTCTCCTTGACCTTGGCCACAGCTGAGTGCCTCCTGCTGGCTGTCATGGCCTATGACCGAGTGGTTGCTATCAGCAATCCCCTGCGCTATTCCGTGGTCATGAATGGCCCAGTGTGTGTATGGTTGGCTGCTACATCATGGGGAACATCAATTTTGCTCTCTGTCATACTTGTCTCATCCCTAAGACTTCAATTCTGTGGGGCTAATGTCATCAACCATTTCGTCTGTGAGATTCTCTCCCTCATTAGGCTGGCCTGTTCTGATACCAGCCTCAATGAGCTTATGATCTTCACCACTGGTATCTTCACCCTACTTCTACCCTTTGGGTTTGTTCTCCTCTCTTATGTCCGAATTGTTGCTGCTGTCCTAAGGATTCGCTCAGCTCAAGGTAGGCTTAAGGCCTTTTCTACTTGTGGTTCTCACCTGACCGTGGTGACAATCTTCTATGGGGCAGCAATCTCCATGTATATAAAGCCTAAGTCCAAGTCTTCTCCCAACCAAGACAAGTTTATCTCAGTGTTTTATGGAGCCTTAACACCCATGCTGAACCCCCTGATATATAGCCTGAGGAACAAGGATGTTAAGGGGGCAATAAGAAAATTTATGGTAAAAAGGGCATAAGCCTCCTTTGATTCTAAACTTCTAAAATAATACTTAGATGTGTCTTCATTTATGGGGAAAATTCTTTAAAGGTTCTGACTTTCCTCTTGGAAGAGTAGGTAACTGACATGTGTTTTCCTATCTGAAATACTATGCCTACTGAGACTTGAATTTCCATTAGAGATTATTATTTTTGCTCTTTATGTATAACATTGTTAGCGGTTACTCATTAGTTTACACACCTTCAGGTATATGAGCATGTCAAAATCCTTTCCTTACAGACAGAAGGGACCTATGCAGCAAGAGAATCTCCTGAGACTGCTGGAAGCCAGTAAGGCATAATTACAATTGGAAAATAGGACAAAGTATGGTAGAAGAAAAGGTTAGAAAACAAATGTCAGGAACTTCACAACTTCACTGAGGGCAAGCCCTGGTATGTCAGCACATCTTCTTGCACCATTTAACCTTGGAATCATGAGAAAATTGTATCATAGCTAATTCCTCCATTTGTGTGGAATATTTTCTTTTTTCTTTCTTTCTTTATTTATTTTTTTTTGTATTTTGTATTGCTAGAGAGTGCATGCATTTTCCATAGAGAAAGACAGTGAGAGAGAACCTTCCAAGAGGGTGTGGTCATGCATCAACCCCCTTTTCTCCATTTCTCCATCCTGTCAGGTTTTTGGCACATGTGTACACATGCTCAGTATGTTTTTCAAGCCACCAGAACTTGGATTTGAACCATGGTTGACCATCTGAAATCCAGCTCCTAATGTATAGCACTTAACCACTGTGCTACAGGGCTGATTTTTTTTCTTCTAGTTTTTCCATACCCCTTCCTCATATATTAGTTTATTTTATTTCCATATTATCTCTATGGAATTACTAAGGGAAACACCATGATTCTATCCTGTACTAACAATGATGAAGAAGAGGACAAGAGAAGGTGTTGAGACTTGTCTAAATTCATACATAATGAGTAGTAGAATCAAAATTAGAATTCAGATAACATATATCTAAGTCTAGGTCTGGATAATTCCAGATCCTACTTATGGTGTCTTCTCTATAAAAGACTGTAACAAAGATTTAATGTGGTGATTTTTAAAACCAACTTTATTGTGATTTAATTTATTGACAATAAATTTTATCCAATTACTATGTTTGATACTATGAGTTTTGACAGATGTTTAGAATTGCCACTATGATCAAGCTACCTAACAATTCTGTCACCTTCAAAATTTTCTTTGTCCCCTCTTGTAATCTGTCCCTCCCTCCACCTTCAACCCCTGGCAACCACTGACCTTATTTATTTCACTATATGTTAATTTACATTTTCTAAAATTGCTTATAAATACAATAATGCAGAATGTACTCTGTGTCTGGCTTCTCTTACTCAGGTTGCTTTTGAGATTCATCAATGTTGTCACATCAATAATTTGTTTCTTTTTATTGCTGAATCATATTCCATTGTACAAATTTACCACACCTTTAAAAATCCATTCCCTGCTGATGGACATAATGCAGTGATTTTCAAAGTTAAGTTCACATAACCTTATGGGTTCCATCATGGTGTTGGAAGCCTACTAAAGGGGACAAAGTTTTTTGTGAAGAATTTTATTAGAAAAGAGAGGTCTAAAATGAAAAGAAAACTTTTGACAAACAATGACCTAGTACAGACATCTCATTTTATGTGAGAAATCTGACGCTCATTAAACAAGGAATACATTTCCCAAGATCATGAAACTTTACAGAGGCAGATTTAGGGCTAAGACCCAGATATCCTGTTTCCTGGTCTCACTTTACTTTAACCAATTCCACTAAAGATAAAGTCATCTCTCAAGTATCCTGACAGGGAACTAGAGATAAACAGGCAGAAAATATGTGCACAGTGCCTATCTGTGAAGGAAGGACTACTGTACAAGTGGGTACTCAGTGTTTTCTTCATACCCTGACTGCTAGGGGTTGATGTCACCTTGTGGGAGACTGCAAAGGGAGGACTAGGCACATGAGAGGACTGTGTCACATGTTTATTCACTAAGTACATTTTTAAACTGAGGACAAATAAACCATTTATCAAAACAGCTTAATTTCAAAATAAATGTCATATTTATTCACATTTTATCTATTATACATCTTTAAAGATAAATGATCTTCTTAGCCACTGAAACAATGTTTTAACATTAATAATGAAAAACTATTTAGGAAAAAAGGCAAGTAAAATTACTCTTTATTAATTCAACAAATTTTAGGTTTCTACTTTCAGCCAGATACTGTACTAGATACCAGAACAAGTGTCATAATTTGTGCAAAATATTCTTTCCTATTGAGAGAAACATTTCAATCAACATTATGAAATAAATATAAATCTGTTAAATCATTGAAATATTACAGACAAAAAGCAAGAGAGTATTCAGGCAGAGAGAAATTCAAAAATTAGGACAAATGTTTAGAGTACTCATTTTAGTGATCCCATTTTTGAGTGGAGAAATAGTCCACTTTCCATTATAGGTTAGTTTATAGCTGAAAATGAGAATCTTATTTTCACTAATGGTGGCCCTACCAACAATTTTGGTATGTCACTACATTTCTGGTCTTTTTACTGACTTGCTGGCATAGGCACAGCCTGCAGACAGGGTGATATAGTCTGGAAATGGGTCTGTACAATTGATTTTGCTACTAACTAGCTGTGTGACCTTAGTTATATCATTCTCTGGACCTCACATTTGCTTCATCAATATAACAAGAAGGTTTTGTTTGGTTACCCAAGGACTTCTCTAGTTCTAACATTCTGTGTCAAGGCGCTATTTTATATAGTGTTTCTTATCTTTTTAGATGAAATCATATCAATTTACTGTGCAACTTGCTTTCTCCACTTGACAATATATCATAAACCTTTCTCTAAATCAGTATATATAGACCTATCTCCCTGACTTTAAATGTTAGCTTTGACTGTAAAAAGTAGGTAAACACAGCAGCTAGTTAACATGGCTTTGGCCTTCTAGAACTGACATTCTGTTTCTAGACATTTAAATTCCAAAGACTATCTAATTCAACATTGATATTAATTTATTTTAAGTAGAAAAATGAACTCTATGGGAGTATTGTGAAATTAAACTGATGCTGGGTTTTTGAAAACTCCTAAGGTTGAATAATACTTTTTCTCCACTTGAGCAATCACAGACATCCCAAGTAGTCCTCTAGTATATTATCTTCTCATCCCCCCACCTCAAGTAGCTGAGCAGTGAAGTTTACCTTGCTTCACTCTGAAAAGTAAGATGCAAAGATTGGCTTGAAACTAAAATGATTCTGTCAAAAATTAGAGAGGGATAAGCAGTGGTGAAGCAGTAGAACATGAAGTTGTGCAAGACTGATCTGCATGGAAAGGTTCTCAGTTTGCATCTGGATACCTTCCTGTGTACTCCAGGCACACGTTTGCCCAGGATCCATGGCTGGCTGAGGCTGGGGTTGGATCATAGCAACAAGATACTGTTGGGGATAGTCTCTCTCCCTCTCATAGAAGAAATAAATAAACTTTCAAAAAATTGAAGAGAATGTGGTAGTGGTGGAAATGGGGTACATAGAGGATGTGGTGTACTTGAATCATCCCAGGACCAGCCCTATCTCTATCCCGGACCCTTGATCCATGGAAGGATTGTCTTTCCCAAGGCCAGTCCCTGGTGCCTGAAAGGTTGAGGACCACTGATGTAAAGTACTAAAACAATGCCTAGCTATAGATAGAGTTCAGTAAATATTAACTGTCATTATGGTATTTGGGTCACATGAGCCTAAGATGACAAGAATTGAAGTGTCCCCTTGTTTCCTAAATATTGCATCCCAATGTTGCTCCTTCACTGGTGCATCTATGCATATATCATCCATTCAATATTTATTTATTAAATACCTGCTCTATCACAAGTACTGTGCTTGCTGCTAGTGATGTAGTGGTGAAAGTAGCATACTTGTGCCTTTCCCTCAAAGAAAGTTTCTCCACCTTCTGGGCGGAGCAAAAATGTGTATGCAGGCAATGTTACTGTGCGAGTTAATAATTCTCTTGTTCTTATGTTTGTTAAGTATTTTCACACTTTACAATTTATCTTATTCTTAAATATGTATTTATACACACACAGACACACACACACACACAATTTCATATCATCCTCAAAATAATTTAATGAGATAAGCAGAACATGAATTATTGTAAATATTATTAACTGCCACTTACAGATGATGGAATACCACTTACACATGATGGAAAGATTTAGACTCTGTGCTGTTATCAAAGTCAACAATAAATGATAGGATTGAGATTGGGATACAATTCTCTTAATGGCTATATAAACTTTTTTTTTTTTCTGATGGGAGCCAGATATGTTCAGGGAGTTCTTAGAAAAGAGCAGTAGAAAGAAGAAAGGCTGTTTCTGAGGAGAAAAGGGAAATAATACCGTGTTTTCACATTGTTTAGGTTCAAAGTGTGACCATAATAATTAGTAGCTATATGATCTGGACAGCTTTCTATCTGTTTCCTTATCCATAACAGCAAAACAACTATAGGACTGACCTTGTAGGGTTGTTAATTTATATAAAATGTTAAGAAATATGGCTGGTATATAGTACATCCTCAATAAATGTTATCTATTTTTTATTATTGTTATTAGACTTTAGACTATTGTTGAATTCTCAAGTGACTCAAAGATAATCGGTGCTCATTTCATTAGATGCCTTCTCCTTCTCCTCTTTTTACCCACTGGTAATGTGCATACTAACTGTTTCTGGTTAAGTGTGAGCAACAGATCAAGCACTTTTATAGTGAAGCATCATGATAAAATGGAAAAAAAACCCTCATACTTAGGCGTCAGTAAGTCTGGATTCTAGTCAGGGTTCTGTCATTAATGAGCTATGAAACTCTGGGCGAATCACTTAACCTTTTCAGAGTGCATTTGTCAAATGGGGGAAAACATATTCCTTAATCTACCTTACAGAATATTGGAAAGATCAAATGAGATCATAGATGTTAGATGTTAAGG